AAATATACATATATACAAAATCCCTATGAACAGCACACATACTTTAATCAGTTACATATATAACAACACACCATGACAAAACTCTACTAACCCTGTCACAGAGGCTCTTAAAGAGGTGACTGAGCTACTGCAGCCATCTATCACAACCAGCTGGGAATAAAGGGAGGAGGCAAACTGGGCATTTGACTGGTCAGTTAACTGGAGTTTTCCACTTCACCTCAGTTCATCTGTAATTAGCTCAGAAAAAGTGAATGCACTTCATATTATTATTTATAATTTTTTGCATGGGTTGAACTTGCACAATGAACAACAATAAACTACACATTTAAAATAACAGGTGACTGGTGAGGAAATTATACTGTGAGATAGAGCAGGAATTTATATATATACAACAGTGATAAAAAACAAACAAACCCCAAAGACAATTAAAATGAATTTAGTTAAAAACAGTGAAAGTAAGACTGACGTTGTGTATCAGAGAAGTGCAAATTGCTTTAATAAATAATCTGTACACTATAGATGTAAGATAAACGGCTGCATGAAGCTATAATAAACAATATGTTTGGCATCTTTTGCCTGACAGGCGTGTAAACCTGTCCCAGAATGAAGTTATTGTACAGCTTTATAGAGAGAGGTTTTCTAAAGTGTTCTTTATGGCAGCGAGGCTGAATCACTCTGCTGCCTCAGAGGTGTGGAGTGGGTGTGATGGGCTGTCTGTGATGGAGAGGGTAGGTTCAGTGACCTCCTGGCCCAAATTCTGACCAATGATTCTTCCGGCCTCGCAGAGTAGTTTGTTCATCCTGCTGGCATTTCTGGCACTGACGCTGCCCCCCAGCAGACAGCAGCAAACTAGATGGTACTCACTACCACAGAAGAAGATCTCCATCATCAAAGGATATGAGCTTCATTAGAAAGTACAGTCATTCTTGATCTGTTTAAAAAATGTTCTCTCAAGTTTTGGCAATGAGAGTAGGAATAATCAGGGATAGCTCAGTAGGTAGAGTGGTGGCCCCATGATCGGAAGGTCGGGGGTTCGACTCCACTGAACGGCTACCCTGAGGTACCCCTGAGCAAGGTACCGTCCCTACACACTGCTCCCCGGGTGCTGCATTGGTGGCTGCCCACTGCTTCACTGGGTGAATGGGTTAAATGCAGAGGAACTATTTCCCTATGGGGACTAACAAACACATACACATTATCATTCCTACATGCCTGAGTCTACTGTCTACCATGTATAGTCCAGTTTGGAGATCCTTCCCAGATGCCTTAACCCCCCCCCCCCCCCCCTCCCATCTTGGGTCAATTGTTCTCAGTAAATCACATGACAGGGTGGGGCAAGGTCTCACAGTGGGTTCACCTGAAGCCTTGGCTGATTGTGACCCACACCCGTTTTCACACCTTGGCTCGTGTGATTAGGCAGAGGATCAATAGGGGGTCCATGACCCTCTTTGAGACACTCCCGATAGGGCTTAAAAATCAGGGACTCTTAAAACTAAAGAAGCTTCTTGGATAAGAGGTGAAACAGCTTCAACAAACTTAAAGACGTCCAGAGACTTTTCTTTCCAAGCTCCTCAAACAATGCCTGAGTCTAAATTGTCTCCAAAAAGTCCTTTTTGCTTGTCACTGAATTACAGGTTTGGCATTGGGGTAGTTGCTGATGATAACTTAAGAGGGATGGTCGTTTTGCATTAAATTTTTTATTGGAACCCATTAACAGCAAAGCCTTCTTAAACCCTAAACCTTAATCTGACCTCCACCTACCCATTACAAATGTAACTACATGTTGTGTTGACACAGTCCTCTCATCCATTTCTGGCCACTCAGCAGTTTTTTAATTGACTGGAAGGAAACAGAGAGGTAAACTCCACCAACAGTTAGTGTTTTGGCAGAAAACTGCAGTGCAACAAAGAAACACCACACACAAGTAGAAATGCTGCCAATGGTGTCGGCCACTTGTGTAGGCTCTATGGATTCGACACTGAAGTTAAAGTCTCAAATGAGATCTCGGTGTTAATGAGCACATTCATTTCTTTGTATAGGTTTCCCATCATTCAGATCATGGCAGACTTAAGCACTTGAGTTGAAGGCAACTGGACTTCTTTTTTAGGTTCTTAGGGATGTTTCCCCTACTCCTCTAAAGTGTTTGATGAAGTAGCCTTTTGGATGAGAGGTTACACCTCATGTAACCTTACTGCATTTCAGATCTCCAATTGTCTACCTCTCCCACTGAAGATTTGACTAAATGCAGCTCATGTTGACTGTTGTCCAGAATGCAAAGAGTTCTGTGCTCCTAAATATTTGCCTACAGCGGCCAGTCATACACTGGCAAAACAGGATACATTGTTCTGCTTTTTCCCTCTTACTTCCTTTACCTCATTGCCTCCATCATCTGACTGAGCAAATGAGGCACATCATGATGTCTTGAAGCCTGACTGGAGAAATGATGACTGTAGGGTCTCTACCTTACTATGTAGAGGCAACTATAGTTGTGATTTGCCACTAGATAAATAAACTGAATTGCGTGAGCATTGCCCAACAATTCTTGCTTTTGGTACCAAGGTCACCTCTCTAATTGTTTCTCTCTTTCATAATTGAATGTACAGAACTTCTAGGCTCACCCAAGTAGGGGCTGACTCTGGTGGCTTATCTCTGCTACGTCTCTGCTTTTTGCAGATGATATGGTTCCTTTGGCCTCCTCGGGCTGTGATCTTCAGCTCACACTGGGATAGTTTGCAGTCAAATAGAGCTAAAATGGAAAAAAATAAGCTGTTGAATGACTGGTCAATTGTTTATGTTCCTATGTTGTATCAGTCTGTGTTTCTACCCTGAACTATGGCCATGAGCTGTGGATGGTGTCCAGGACATGCTGGCTGATTTGTGGTGTCCACCCAGTAGATCTGGAGATGATGACCAGGAAGAATGAGATCTGGGTGTCTCTGTAGAAAATAGATGGATAAATGGACATCTATATGATGGCTCACGGGTGTTTTTAGCACCAGTTTTCTACACTGTACTTATTTCTAATCAATTATGCTGATTATTCTGTGCCTTTGGGCTTTACCTGCATTTAATAAACTTGAAAATACATGCTAATTTTAATGCAACTGGGTATATTATCACTTTAAATTTAATGGCTTTCTATTACTATCATTTTTAAATACTTTCCATTTCTATAATATTTTACTTCAAAAAGTAGGTTTTGGTTGAATTACTGCCAGTTGTGTTATTGCTTTCTATTGCTATAACTATTCATACCAGTGAGAGGAAAATGATCATTTCAGCTCAGCAGAAGTCTGAATAGAAGGGAGGGAGGTCTACAGTTTGCCTGGTAACAGCAGCTTAATTCTGGGATTGGCTTCTGCAGTGTTGATGTCAGATGTGCCTGGCAACGAGACTGGAATGCAACAGAAGGATTTAACACCCACTCAGCGTCACACCGATCTCCTAAACAGAACTGCTTTAACACTTGTTGCCTTGACACTGCAGAGTTGATTATTTAAATCCGACGATTATTTTTTCACTGTCTGCATCTTTGGTATTTAGAAAAACACTTGGAGCCCTGCAGACAAAGATAAGAATTGAATGAAAAGAGGTCCCACTCTGCTTCAAACTCCACGCATCCCTTTTCAAACCAAGTATAATATGTCGTGAAGCAGGTCGGTGCCGGTGTCATAAAAACTGCATTTGGAACCAGACACAGCCTTGTTTGTCATGTTATTGTCTTTTTACATGTGTAGTGTCATTATAATAAATTTAAATTACACACACAGTGACTGTATTTAACTGGTTGTTGCGATTTTAATGTTGTTGTTTATATTTTTCAGGTTATAAGATAAGATAAGATAACCTTTATTAGTCCCACACGTGGAAAATTTGTTTTATACTGTTGTATCTCTAATGTTTTGCTATTTTACCACCAATAGAGAAAGAGTTAAATTTGCATATTAGTACAACAGAACAAAGTAAACATGGCACCTCCGTGTTGGCTTCATCTTTCAGCTCTGGACGTTCCTGCTTTGTAAAAACACTCTGTAAGGTCTGAGGGGTGTCTTACAAAGGAAGTTCAACACAGCCGGGCTTTCTTTGTGTTAACTGGTTTAACAAAATCTCTCAGGTCACATGGCTCAAGGAACACCTTTCAGAAAAATATCCTTTGAATGCTGCTCACTCCATCGAAGACATTATCAGATGATGATAAATTGAAATCTTTAAAGAACATTAAAAATTAACAGTAAAAAGAATCAGTGTTGCAATGAAGATAAGAAATTGGTCTGTTTTCCTTCTCTCAACCGGTCGCAGCAGATGGCCCCGCCCCTCCCTGAGCCTGGTATATATATACATATATATATATATATATATATATATATACATATATATATATATATATATATATATATACATTCTGTATGTATTATTGTAGGGTCTACCTTACATTATAAAGTGCCTTAAAGCAACTGTTGTTGTGAATTGTATAAATAAAATTGAATTGAACTGAAATTAATGCTGGAGAAAATCTTTATTCTAGTGCTGTGAAACTTTAAATTGGATCATTTAAATATGAAAGCTTACAGTCCCACAGGCTGGCAATGTGGAAATGACTTCAGTTTGACACAGATCAAAGTGAAATGATTTTTCTTAATTGAACAGGTGTTTTTGGTGTGTTTTAGGAGCCGCAATTCCTGCCGAGTGAAAGAGACCCAGCAGCAGATTAGATTATAATCAAGTATACACACTTTCTGCATGTAATGTGACTATGTGTGTTGCTTTTCAACATGCTGTAAATAACGGGGATTTTTTATATGATGAAAAGCAAAGTGAGCCTGGAGTCAAATTCCTTGTTTGTGTGCACAAACTAAAAAATAAAGATAATTCTGGCTCTACGATCGCTGCCGTGTTTTATTACACTCCCAATAAAACACAGAGCGGTCCCTCTTCGCGGGTATACAATATCTTCAAACGTAAACGCTCCGGACAAAGGGTCCCGCATGCGCGTCGTCGAAGAATCCAGTAAATAGAACCCAGGAGCACGAGCAGTGTCTGTGCTGACGTCACGGCCGTACGTTGAGAGCTGGAGCGGAGTTGTAAGCGCGAGCTCAGACGGAGGCGCGCCGAGGGAACAGCTACAGCTATGGTGCTCTGTTCTTCTTCGTGAGGACGAAATCAGCCAATTTTATTCTCGTTGACGTCTTTTTCTCCGTCTTCTCCGCGACGTAAACAAGCCGTCGGACATTTTGAAATCGCTTCGGGGATACAATATGTCTTCCACGGTGGTCGCTGCCTCCAGAAGGCAGTCCTGCTATTTATGCGATCTGCCCCGCATGCCGTGGGCGATGATCTGGGATTTTACCGAACCCGTCTGCCGTGGTTGTGTGAACTACGAAGGTGCCGACCGGATTGAATTCGTTATCGAGACTGCCAGGCAGCTAAAGAGAGCACACGGCTTTCAGGAGGGCCGCTCTCCCGGCCCGGGGAAGCCCCAGCACGCCGGGAAAGAGATCAATCACTCGGTTGGGGACCTGGGCTCTCGTCCCCCTCAACCTCTGGATCGTTATCCGCTGTCAGACAGGCCGCCGCGGCTGGGCCCGGAGTACCAGGCGGGCAGGCAGGCGAACGGCCTCCCGATGCCCAACGGATTTCCCAAACCCGACGAGCCCCCTGAGCTAAACCGCCAAAGCCCCAACCCCCGCAGGACTAGCACGGTTCCTCCTAACTTGGTGCCTTTGGTAAACGGCGCGATACCTGCCATACATCCACTCAGCGGCCGCCAGACACAGATCTGTCTGCCCGGCGCTCTGATCGCGCCTGTCCCCGGGGAGCACGGCAAGCGCCCAGAGGAGCTGAAAGACAAGCACCGGGCGGACAGCATGTCGGACATGTCGGACAGCCACAAGGACTGGATAAACAAAGGCAAAACTGTCAGGGACCTGATGCTGCACACGTTCGACGGCAGGGTAAAGAAGGACCACACCGCCATGCAGCGGGTCATGGCGTACGAAATGAGTGGCACTTCCTCAAAAACAGGTAGGCTGTTTGTTTTGTGTCTGCACTAGAATGTGGTGAGCTGGCACGCGCCATGAAAACGGGAACTAAACAGCAGGGAACTAATGTGTCAGCACTTCACACACGGTGTGTCGTGGATTTACGCCATCGTGACGGGTCCGCCCAGCCACGCTGCTGGCATGCACCCGTTCACCTCTTGTGTGAGACAGCAGTACGGGAGCAGGTGTGTGTGTGTGTGTGTGGTTGTTGGGGGAAGGGTGTTTAGAAATTTCCTGCCTCGTAGTCTGCACAGGCCGGGATGTTAGTGTGGCTGTTAACCCTGCTGCTTTTCCTTTGCACAGACAGAGGGAAGCACCCTCGGCCTGGGAAGAGGAAGGCCTCCCCTGAGCCAGACTGTGAGAGCAGTGTCCCCAAGATGAACGGCAGTGAGGGCCAGCCATGGCTCCCCTCACCCTCTGAAGTCCTGAAGATGCCCCCAGCTGCCCTGCCAGGCTTCTCTGCAGCGCCTCCATCAACCATCTCCCCCCACTCCCGCACCACACCACCTGAGGCTGCCACAGCGCAGAATGGCCAGTCTCCCATGACAGCACTCATCCTCGCCACCGATAACGCAGGCAGCACGGGCTCACCTAAGGACGGCAGCCAGGTACATTCCACCGTGGCGGGGGCACGACGGAACAGCGGGAGCCCCCTGTCACCCTCACAGAGGAGGTTGGCCCAGAGAGAGGGGCCTGTGAGTGCCAACCCCTCTGCTCCGCATGGTCCCGGCAGTATGGAGCCACCGCCACAGAGCATTCCGGATTCCTCTGTGCCGCCGGGCAGCGTGCCGCTGTGCTGCACTCTGTGCCATGAGCGGCTAGAGGACACTCATTTTGTCCAGTGCCCTTCAGTGCCCTCTCACAAGTTCTGTTTCCCCTGCTCCCGGGAGAGCATCAAGCAGCAGGGGGCCACCGGCGAGGTGTACTGTCCCAGTGGTGAAAGGTGCCCGCTGGTTGGCTCCAATGTACCCTGGGCCTTCATGCAGGGGGAAATAACCACCATATTGGCCGGAGATATAAAGGTAAAAAAGGAGCGGGACCCTTAAAAAGTTCTCCGACTGCTTCTCGTGAACTTGTTTCCCTCTTGTAACCCAAGTATGGCAACAACAGCAGGACATAAAGTAACAGACACAGCTCACCCAGCAAGCCTCAGAGGAGCTGGCAGACATGTACATAGTGAACACAGGGGAGTGTATACTTCATAAATGTGGCTGTAAAATTTGACTTCTTTCTTTAATACATTGTGTTTCTTACTGTGTTTCCAGTAAGACTTTTCCTTTTTCCCACCACAGCTGTTTCTTCTCAGTCTGTCGTTGTACTTTAGGTCTGCAGACAGTCCCTGTCGAGCATAGAATGTGACTAATTTGAGCACTTGGCAAAATCCTTTAATAAATGAAACAAAAAATGCTTCTAGCTGTACATGTATGCACTTGCCAAATACAGTTTCAGAACTTGTAATAATACCCCCAGTGTCTCTGTGGTTTGCTTATTTTCCATTATCCTGGAGTTGGTCGGAGAGTCATGGCCTGATTGTGAATCAGTCATGATGCAATCCCTCCCAGCAGGAACAAATTGGCTTCCAGGGAACAGTGGGTGGAAGGGAAAAGTCAGGGAGCGAGGGAGATGGAGGAGGGGGGATGAAGGCCGCAGTAGAAGTGCGTTGCATAAATGCTGTGTACTGTAAATCGCACGTGGGTGAGCCGAGGCTGCTCAGCGCTGAGGCCTCGTGCCCCATGAGTGCGGGGGGAGATAAGGAGGGCCTAAAAATAGTCACCGTGGCTTCAAAGTGACGCCCGCTCCGGCGTTTGTTGATGTCAAAACAACTGCCTCACATATCCTGTTTGGGCACTTTGTCTGGATCTAGAGGTTTTCTCTTTGCTTCTCCTCCATGCACCCAAATCAGCCTGACATCTCGTCAGATGCTGGCAGCAGATCAGAGCTGTTGCTGACTGAACACACCCTGATTCCAATGAAAGCACATGGGAGACGTGAGGTCATGAGCGGCGGAGGCCCACTGGGACTGTTAGCGCAGGAACTGAGCGATCAACCCTTTGCTTTCCTCCTCCTTTCCCTTCTCTCTCCTCACGTTACACCCTCTGTCACGCTGTCAGGATGACGGAAATACCTCAGGGCTCTCTTTTCTGTTTCAGACAGGCTTCGTTCTCCACAACAAAGCGGCTTCATCAGACAAAATGGCTGCTGTCAGAGCGGATTTGGACGAACCTTAAATCCCCCCACGCTCTCGCCCCCGTGTCAGCGACGTTTATTTGTCTTATTTGCTTTGCTTTCACTTAAACGTGTATATCGAAGCGTCATCTGTGGATACTCTCTCGCTGTCACGTTTGACTGCTTTGACTTCAGGAAGAAAATAAGGAGGGGGCCCTGCTTCAGAGTAGGGGGGTGGGAGTAAATGCCTTGCTCAGGGGTCACGTGCTCCTTAGTGGAATTCCTGAGTCACTGTCCTCCCTCCCTCCTCTTCTAATGTCTCCTCCCCCCTACTGCAGTAACTTTTCAAGGCTGCTGAGCGCACAGACAGATGAATGGGGGCCTGTATGTGTTTATGCCAGGACACCGTGCAGGGAGGAAAACGTTAACCCTTCCCCAGCTTTCTCCCTCCACAGACAGCGTGTTTAGTTTTATCCTGCAGCACATTTAAAAGGAATGCAGTTTCCTTCCTGGTAGAGCTGTATCTGTGCTGGAGGGTAGACTGTTCTTTCAAACTTTCCTGATTGTCAAACTTTCATTTTTAAATCAAGATTTTCAGAAAATTTTATACCACAAACATCTATAACTTGTTTTTGAATGTCTTAAATGGGCTTAAAGAGGTTTTATAATAATTGCGTGCTGACCTGAACTGCGATTAAATCAGTCCAGGTCAGCAGACTAGTAGGTCAGTGGTGGGTTTGGTTATGCAATGGCTCTTTTTCTTTAATGAAATTCCTCTTACTTTGTAATCAGCAGTAGACAGGCTTTTACACTCCTGTCAGTCTGTCACTGGGACTCGCAGACAGCGTCTTAGGTCTAACAGAGTTCATATGAGTCACAGTTATTTGATACTTAGTGGTAATAAGGAACATCACGCTTCTGCATCACTCCCGCGTGTAGTGGGGAAACCTGAAGTAACATTTAATGCCTTGCATTAATATCATGGCCAAAGTAACCTCAGGATTCACTGATGTGCTTCTCATTGCACCTTTAACATTTTACAAGTTTGTCATCAAAGTATAGTTCAATAAATGCAAGTACTTAAAAAAGAGGTCAAGTAAAGACTGATAATTTCAAATTGTGTTCCAGTACAGTAGTACAGGTTTCATCCTGTCAGCGGGGAGAATATTGCTTTTTTAAAATCAGAAACACTTGGAGATGTGCAGCGACAGTTACCCAAAACCCAGTTTTTGTTCTGTCAGACGGACAAGTTCACAGACTGATAACAAAGCAACACTGATGTCAGTTTGTAATGATTTGTTTTCTTAAATTTAATATATTATTCATGTTAAGATTGGTGTCAGGTCTGCCACTTCACTCTGTGATTTGGCTGCTGAATATGGAAGCTGCTGTTTGACTTCAGTAGTGAATGAAACCCAACAACCCCCCCAAAATAGAGACTTGTTAAAGTTTTTTGCAGATAATGACGCTTCCCTTTTCACAGTCCTGAAACCAAACAGTAGCCTTTGAGTTAAAACTACTCGGACTTCCTCCAAGTTCTGGAGAGTCTGGATTATTCTTCAGTGCTTCGTGCAACACTTTCACTTGAATGCATTTTTGGTGTTTCTTTAGTAACAATTGTTCCTATTTTTGTTGGCCTGTAAGGTTGTGATAACATGCCAGTTAAGACCATAATGAAATGTTTACAATTAACTTTCAGCTTTGTGAAACTGAGTCGTATCTGTAAATGCTTAAAAATAAACTTCAACCTGACCACACCAGGTGAGGTTCAGCTCAGACCTCAGGCCTGTGCTACGAAGAAACAAATCTAGAGTAAGTGATTATTAACTCATTGTGAGGTCATACCGTGCAAAGGTTTATTATACTTCTGAGAATTTCACACTTTAAGTTGCAAAAAGTTGATTACTGTGAACTTGAAAAAGTTCTAACGGAACAATCCTGAATCGGAGCAGTCTTTGGTTTGTCCTCCATCTTCAAAATAACACCAAACCTTTCAAGGTACTTTTAAGGATTTTAAACTTGCCACAGCTCTTCTGTAAACTCAGGCAGTATCAGTGCCTCCTGTCTCTTCATGATGCTGGACTATTATCTCTATGGGGATCTTCCTCTTCTTGTGACTGAAGTTCATCTTTTCCAGGCTCTGCCTGTTTACGCTCATTGTTTTATGTACAAATTAATTTGGGAACATCTACAGTATCTGAAAGTTTAGTCACAGTGCTGAAATATTTAAAGAAAACTTCCACACAGTGCTACTTGTTAGCTCCTTGTGTTATTGTCAGTTATGCCAGCCTTATGTTGCAGAAAAAATCTACTTGCAGAGTGGGAGCCCTGCCTCGATACAAAGGCCCTTCAGCCTACGGATCCTTTTGATGTCTTTCAGCCAATCAGATGACCATATCAAAATAGATCCAAAACTCCGCCCTCTCTCTCAGGATGGTTCATTTTTGGCACGAGGTCGGCCTCAGATTCCAGTCGAACCAGCCGCGTTTTTTTTCATCTGTCACAGAAACTCAACACCCCAAGGGCCCGAAGAGCCAACGGCCCCAGATTAATGGGTTTGCTCAAATTACGTGGCGCACACAGGAGAAAAACTCTGGGTTTCTCTCTCCTCCTGTCTCCCTCTCTACACTCTGTTTGTTCAGCTGTTCCTCACCCAAAGCTCAACCCCCTCCAGCACCAAACCGCCTCCTCTTTCCTGACTCTGAAGTCCAGGATAAGGCTGTTGTCTTGATTTTACATCTGCAGAACAGCAAACACACCGAGAGCAGGAACAACAAACCTCAGCTCTTCACACCTCCGTGAACACTGCCAGTGACAGTAGCTTGGATAAAAAACACTGTGCCATGCAGCTATTTTTAATAGGTAGGAAACTCTACCTGCAGGGCAAATAAAGAGACTTATGATGCTTGGAAACTAGGTCATAATCGAGTGAAAAAGACAGCTCTGTGATCTTATATATAAAACATATGAAAGCTGTTTTTAACTTTGAAGCTTTGTGGTCTGTCCAAGCTGGAGTCAAACTGTGAAGTATAGTATACAAAATAACATGGCAGTGAGCTTTTACTGGATTCACATTAACATTACAAATGACTTAAGAAAGTCATTTACACAACAATGATTCATTTTATGTTATTTAGAGGCAATCATTATGATTTAAACTGGTCAATAGTAGTTGTTGGTGGTGGACGGCTGTTTACATCCACTTATTATTGGTCGTAAAGGTCAGGAACATTTTTTTTAATGGTTTTCTTAAACTGTTGTTTTCCAGGGTGAAATGATTGTACAGCATTCATGTTTAATGACTTCAAAAAACATGAGTCATGGTGAAAAGCTTTTAGCATAATTTTTGCTGGATATTTGACCACTCCTCTCGACGGAGTTGTTAGAGTTCATTTAAAGTGGTTGGTTTCTTGGTTCGAGCCGGCTCAGCCCTACTTTCAACAGGGTTGAGGTCAAGATTTTGGGAATTCCATTCCAGAAGCTTAATGTTAGCCTGCTTTATCCTTTCCAAAACCATCTTTAATGTGTATTTGGTATCATTGTCCCGTTGGAACTTCTCATTGTATCCCAAGTCTCAAACTGCACATTTAAGGTGAAGCTGAAGAATTCGAAGGTAACCTTCCAGTATTCCATCTACTTTGTGCAGCATACCAGTGCCACTGGCAGCAGTACATACCCCAAGCATGATGCTGCCACCACCATCCTTGACAGTTTATAAAGTGTTCTTGGGTTTCAAAGCTTCAACTTTACTCCTCCAAACTTATCTCTTGTCATTGTGGCCAAACAGTTCCATCTTTGTCCGTAAGGTAGTTAGCTTGTCTATGTGGGCAACGGCAAATATTAGTGTAGTTTGAAGGAGCGGAGCTTCGTTCCTGGTCCCTACGCCCTCGGTCCTGACTTCACTGTGAACAGTGCTGCTGGTGTTCCGGCAGGCTTGAGGCTTGATAGTTTCTGAACAACCTAACCAATTTCTTCTCATTTGAGGGTAGCCATGTGGGTCTTGATCCGCTGACTCTTATGTTAAAATGACCAATTTTACTTTAAAAAAGCATGTACACACTGCTACAAAAGGCTTCTTGGGGCTCCACAGATAGCTTACCCCTTCATAGCAACTGAATGTTATTTCATAACGTATCTACTGGGATACAGTTGAAGCTTATAGAGAGGGGGGTATCTGCTTCAAGCGACAGTGTTTCTGTCTACTAGGCCTCACCACTTGTTGGATTTTTCACTGTAGTGGATCTCTTAATTGTATTTTTTGCTGCTGGTGAACTTTTTGAAGCGTTTTTAAAGTAATTATCTTGCAAGAAGTTTGTGCTTCAGTTTTGGTGAGTATAATTCCAGTATGATATTATTCCGTTACCCACCAATTAACCAATACGTCTGTCTGTGAGACAGTTTGCCTCAGCCCAAGGCCGAGAGAGGAAAGCAGCATTTCTAAATGTCATGTGTATAATAGCTTGCATTTGTATTCACTCACACAGGTGAAATAATAAAATGAACAAAAGTAGTTTTGTAGTAATTCTGTGGAGCAGCAACTGAAAATAATTTTTAAAAACTTTAATTTTAAACGTCCAGTTCTCTGAGAACTCGGTCCTTGCTAGTTGCCTAATTTTGTCAACTAGCAGCTAAATATTAGCAGTAAGTGTTGACATCAACCCCATGCTGATGTGCTGTGCTGGCTTTAGGGTGAGCTTGGGTTAACCATGTGCTCCAGGGTCATTGTGTCCAAATGAGTTGTTTGTACATCCAGGGCTGGGGCCTCTCTTCATTTAGACTGTGTCCAGATCCTAATGCTGTTCAAAAGGTCAATCAGTCCCCGCGTGAAAAATGACCCGAGCTTAGACCAACATGCTGCTGTCACACAATTCGTTGGTCAGGCCCCCACCGCGTCAGCACTTTCCTGTGTACCCTGGGGCATTACAGACCACCCCCACATCCTTACCTCGTGGCACACACATACATTGTGTTCTGTCAAAATAAAGGCCTGAATTCTTCTGTTTCTTTCTTCTGCTGTGCTGCGTTTTTCCAGCCCAGGCTGCCATTTCAGGTAAACCTTTTCTTCATCTTTGGTATTAGTGGAAAAACATGCATGAAAACAAACATTTAGATTAAGAAAATAAGAATACATATAAATACTAAAGGTAAAACAGAAATGCTAATGTAAGACGTAAGAAACTAATGACACAAATAAAAGTTAGAATAAAGGTCAGAAGAAATGTGACGTCAATTTGTAGAATCAGCAAAAACATCTGAAGACATTTGTGTCAGAAAAGACAGTTTTGTTGTAGTTTTTCCACAAGTCAAACTTTTGTCTTTGTTTTTCTTTTTTTTTTTAGTTGGTGTTTGGTGATTTTTACTTGGTAAAATTTAGGAAAAGCAAACAAGTAATAATTAGCAATGCACTAAACCACTGCAGCTCAATCACCATGCAAAAGCAAACATACTTCACAACCTCTTCCCCATCATTCCAGAGAAAGGTTGGTCACCAAACTTCTAAACAACACAGTGTTTAGAAGTTTGACTTCGTTTTTCTTGGTTATTAATGTGTTTTGCAAGTTTTTCCAAGTCCATGCACTGATATCCACTAGAGAAGATCACAGCCTTTCAGAAATGGTTTCTGGTCGTATTTCTTGCATACAAACATGTCTTGTTACTAGCTTGTCAACATTAGCCTGTAGCTAAAGTTGTCCACCCACACAAAAAATGAACACAGTTGTGATTAGTTGCCTGAAAAGGATCAACAATGAAGACAACATCATCTTTCTGAGAAGATAGATGTGAATCAATAGTAAAGCTCAACATTAAAACTTATAGACCTCTCTGGTGAAACGTTTTCTACCCTCACTAAATTTGACATAGATTTACTAATTCATATTTGTATACAGTTTAGTCCACATAGATTGCAGGGTAATACAGGTTACGGATAATGAAGTAATAACACCAAGTGCATCAGCTGGGTTATAAAATGTGCCACGTGTTAGTTTGTAGCCAAGTGAAAGTATATAGCTAAAAAAAAACTAAAGAAGACCGAGAATAGAGCTTTGAAGTACTCCAGTGCTTACAGCAGACTTTCACTTCCCAAGAAATA